TAAATTAGGAATTTACTTTAAAAATAGGTAGATTATTCTGGATTTCCTGCAGGGGCCTGATCTAATTCTATTATCCCCTACAAACAAATACATTTCTCCACCTGAAGGCAGAAGAGAAATGTAGCAAAAGGGAAGTTGGAAAGACTGAAAGCATGAGGTAGGTTCAACTTGTTATTATTGACTCAAAAAGTAGGAACTCACATGCAAGATTGGAGAGAGACCTCAAGGAACTATGGCAGCTCCAGCTGATAGCCAGCAAGGAAACTCACTCTCACTCCAAGAACTACACTCTTCATAGAACTGGATTCCAAGATCAATCTGAATAAGACTGGGAATAAGATTCTTTCCTGTGTCTCCCAGTAAGAATGCAGGCTTTGAAAGCTTGATTTGAGTTTGCCTAACTGAGCAAAGAAACCAGCAGAACCAACCCATATATCTCACCTATAGAAGTGTGGCAAAATAAATGTGTGCTATTTTAATTCCTTTAATGTATAGTAGTTTGTTATGTCAGCATGGAAAACCACTATATCCTCATGAACGGACACAGTTTTTTTGTTTTGTTTTGTTTTGAATCCAGATTCTAGACATGGTTTCTTACAGTGATTTCTTAGATCCTTCTTTATCTATCACTTAGGAGGGAGGCTTACATTCTTTTCCTATTAGTTAAGTTCACTCATCGGCGTATGGATTCATAGCTCGTCTCAAGTCACCAAACATACTTCTTCTTTTCTAACTTCAACTGCTTCTTAAAACCTAACTTGAATTATCTTTCAAGAAAGAGTAGATTTTGTGTCAAATTTGACTTAACTCAGAAGTTAATCTGGAAAAACAAAAACCTTTGGTGATAACACTCGGAGCAGATGAGCAGAACCCTAAATATCACTGCCAAAGTGAAGAATTATGCGGAAGGGGTTGTTACCAGAGGGGGTCCATGTTGAGTGATAGGAGACACTTGCAGCGAGTTGTGATGCTCTAAGTCTGAGCTTTGTTTTCTGAAAGGCACAGGTACAGCCTTCAAAGAGGGAAGCAAGGAAGAGCTAGGCAGCAGGTAATAAGGCAGATTTGGGTATGAGAGCTCAGTGGGAGACAGCAATGCATTTTGGGAAGTGCTGGGCCTGGTCCCAACTCCTGGTCAGAGTTAATTCTTAAAGAACATTGGGGCCAGGGACACATGGACTCTAGCAAATGGAGCCCATAGGTAATCCCCATATGATGTTTAATTCTTTTTTTTCTTTTTACTTTCAATTAGTTTATTTAATAGAATTATGTTTTTTTATAACTAAATTATCCATTTAGGACCACCACAATAATTAAACAAAACTCCTAAACTAGATTCAATTATATGATAATTGGTTCTCCACATTCTGAAAATATTTTAAGTACAATCATCTTTTGGCTTAACTTCCTCTAAAATTACCAAGGACAGCCAAGATCCAATCAGTGAATGCACAGGCATTACCTAAAGTCCATGGCTTACATTCCATTTATGTAAACAGCTTCACATGCAAGTGCATCATTTTCTCTGTGCAAAGTCTTAAATTCAAAATAAAAGTAGGGCAAAAATGCTGAAGTATTCTTTTCACCATTGAGGGTCAGATAATTTTTTTGGTTTTTCTGAGACAGGGTCTCGCTAAGTAGTTCAGGCTGGCCTTCAACTCGTGGCAATCCTCAGCATCCCCAGTGCTAGGATTACGGGCGTGCACCACACGCCTGGCTCTAACATATTTATCACACCCAGGAGGCCTATTCTGCTGTGACCATACAGAAACTGACAAGACAACACCATTACAGAAATACACACAGATTCACAGGAATCAGAGTGAAGCCCGAGGAGGAGCTACATCCAAATGAAAGCTGATTTAATCCAACACTTAGTCGCTAAACGAGAGAAAGAGACCAGGACCCACGCTGACCAATCGCCCTCAGTTACACTCCCGATACTCTCAATCAGCTCTGCACTCAAGACAGCGCGAGGAACACAGCGCCTGGTTAGTCTCTGGCCTCCCTCCAGCCCGCCGGCGGGAGCAGGCGCAGCGGGACGCATCCTGCTCTCTTGCTCTCCATCCCGGAAGAGAAGCACCTCTCCCTGTGGGTCACTGTGACAGCCCCAACCACGGAGACAGAGAGGAGACGCTGAGCAGTGCAGTGTGGGTCCCCTTCCGCTCAGCACCGTCCCAGGTCGCCTCTGGTCACAGCCCCGACTCGCAGGCGGCTCAGCACCAGCACTGCAGGGCTGGCCTGGCCTCGGCCGGCCTTCAGGGCCAAGATGTCCTGGGGGGCGGGGAGCGACGACGATTATTGGCTGAGCATGAGTGGCCTGTGGCTCTTCAGCTTGCGCGCTAGGGTCATAAAGATAGCCTCCACGTGGTCACCGTCGTGGGGGTTCTTGGCAGAGGTCTCAAACAAAAGCATGCTGTGCGTGTCGGCAAACGTCTGGGCCAGGTCCGTGGGCACCTGGAAGCAAGTCACACTTATTCTCCACGAGGATGCGCGGGATGTCGCCGGCCAGCAAGTGCTGCTTGCAGTACTCGATCCAGGCCGGCAGGCTGCGGAAGCTGGCCATGTCTGTCACGTCGTACACGCAGACCACGGGCGCACGCTGCGGTAGGAGTGCTGCACCATGCTCTTCCGGAAGCGCTCCTGGCCCACCGTGTCCCACAGTTGGATGTTTATGCGCTCCCCGTCGAGGTCCACTGCTCGTTGTCGTCGGAAATCCGCCCCGATGGTGGCCTTGGTACGGTCCGTGAAGCGGCCGGCGCAGAGGCGGTAGGTCAGGCACGTCTTGCCCACATTGGAGTCTCCGATCACGATGATCTTGAAGATGCGGGAGCAGGCCAGAGGCAGACAGGCCGAAGCCCCCGGCACCACGCAGCTGTTGGAGAAGTTGGCCTCCAGAGATGACTCCATCTCTGAAGCCATTCTCCCCACCCGCCCCGAACTGGGACAGAGGAGAGCAGACGCAGGGAGGCCAGCGGGTTACCCCACCGACGTCCCCGGAGCCGTCGGCTTGGCTGCGCGCTTGCCTGTTTAATTCTTATTTATTACACCCAGGGTCAGTACACTGGCCCATTTCTTTTCTTCATTGTCTAGAAATATTATGTAGTGGTAAGAAGAGAAATGAATTAAGACAGAACATTTGCCTTGGGAAGAAAAGAATGGAAAAATATGGGCTCTAATCAAACTTAAATTCAAACCAGGGTTCTGACACTTGGGAGTCATGCGAAGTCAGAAAAGTCGCAAAGTTGTATAAGGTTCAAGTTCCTTGTGCCCTGACTTTGAAAAACCTTGTCGCATAGGACTCCTGTGATGCTTATTGTATTGTGACGGTTTAACTCTAAAATATTCCCCAAAATTCTTGTGTGTGGAAGGTGATTGGATCATGGGAATGTGACACACATTAGTGCATTTATCTATTGATGAGTCCAATAGCTAAATATGTCCTTACGAGGTTGGGCCTGATCAGAAAAGGCAGGTAACTGAAGGCATGGGCTAGAAGGCTGTATTGTCCCCATCTCCTCCATTTCTTCCCTTCTTTCTGTTTCCTGGCTACCATGGGTTGTGCACCTTTTCCTCCACCATTCCTCTTGTTACCTTGTTGCTGCCTTGGAACTGGATGACATGGATGACTGTGGACTAAAAACTATGAGCCAAAATAATGTTGTCTTCCTGTAAGTTGGGTGAGGTATTGTGTCAAGCAACAGAAAAATGACCAAGACATGCACTTTTAATAATTGGCAGTTATTACTATTATTCCATGGGCCCTATGAATATCTGCTGTGATTTTTTAAAATCTTGAGATGTCAGAGAATATGCACCATTCTGACAAAGCACACAAATCAGCCCAACTTGGATGTAGCAAGCAGAACTAAGTTTGTAACTTTTAAAGGCTGTTACTTATTTTAGATTTGAGGAACTCTTCTCCAGTTGGATCCAAGTGAAGGTTCTTAAAATTTCTATCAAGAATAAACTACCCTTCCCAACTGTCCTTATATTCAAACTAATCCTATTTTCATTTATTTCACTCCCATTCAAAACCTATTATTCACTTAAGAGCTTGCCAAATTTTACTCAACACAGCCTAAGAAAATGCTCTTTTAATGTAGCAGGCTCTGTATTTTCCAGGCCGAAGCAAATACTGCCAGCAGACTTGCTTCTAAGCACTTATATTGGGTGACATCACCCTTATTTCTCAGAAACTCCGTGGAACTGATGTGTATAAAACTCATAGCTCATGCACTGTGCCCAACTGTACTGGAAAAAGGATGCTGACAAAGTGTGAATGCAGAGCCCCTTCCATTAGGAAGGAGGATGATTCTCTCTGACTTATCTGACACCAAAGTAACAGCTAAAAGCAGTTTTCATTCCAGGTATTAATCGTTTAACTCTGCACACATCACTTTGAGAATCTGGTCCATGTTTGTCACTCCCATAGCCTCCTATGACCAACAATCCTGCTTAACTTAAAATTGACTCACATTGAAAGACTGGTGGTTTCCTAAGGCCTGAACCTACTTGTCCCAGGGCTGTACCTAAGTATTCTTTTTTTTTTGGTACCGGGGATTGAACTCAGGACCTTGTACTTTCAAGTCAGGACCTAGCACTTTTGAGGCAGGCAGCGGCACTACTGAGCTAAATCCCCGGCCCTGTACCTAAGTATTCTTATCTGAATCCTCCTGTCTTTTTTTTTTTGCTTTTGACTTGTTCTTTATGTTTTAAGATATATCTCACAGTCTTCCTTAAGTAAAAGTTTCTCTTAGACTTTGAAATTCAGGGTGCATGGGTGAATCTTGTTTACCCTGACATACCCAATATTAACAGCGTCTTCTGCAACCAGATGCCTGGGTAACATCAGAGAAATAAATGAGACGGTGTGTAAAAGTTCAACTTTATTATGATATTTCTTCTTTATTATTGAATAAACTTACATATTTGAGCATGTATCTCTTAATTTAACCTAACAGAGTAAAAGTGATAAAGAAATACAATAATTTATCATCTTTTACTTTTTTCCTCTAACTTATCTTATTTTTCTCCTGGGTCTTTTCCAAGGAAATGACTAATCCAATATTGTGTTATCCTGCTTGAAATTACTAAGTACAATGGAATGTTTCTCAACTTACTCTATAAAATAATGAAACCTTCATTCTTAAACATAAACATAGAAAAATGTATGGTTTATATCACTCATAAATTGAATTCTGAAGCTATATAAACTATCTACTAAAAAGAACATTTAAATAAATTTCTAAGTTACCCAAATTACCACACAGAACAGGAACACACACTAAACACTATGTTGTTGCCAAATCTCATGCCACACTCCACTAAAGAGAACATTAGCTTTTCTCTTTAAAAGCATAGTGAAGTGTCTTTCTTACACTTCACCTGGGACTAGGAAAGCTGCTGGGATTGACCTTGGAACGTGAACGGGCTACAGCAGCTGAATGAGACCTAGCAGCAACTCTGGCTTTGGCTCTTTCTTCCTCATCTTTCAATGCTTCCTCATACCAGGGTGAGAAGGAACTAGGAGCACAATTATAGATCTTGGCCAAAAACTCCAGCACTTTCATCTTGCTGGTTTCAGCACAGGCTCTTGGGCCCCACAGGAATTCATAACGTGGAGGATTACTGTTGGGTACCTGCCGGTACTCCAGGTACTTTTCTTTCACTAAATCTTTGGTGATGAGCTTTCTAGTATCCCCAAAGAAGTGGTGCTGGTGCCCATCAAATATCCCCATCATACTTAGCACTTCCCAGACTTGCTCCTCAATGGCACAGTTGCCCTTTGTGAAGATCACACCCAGGATATTCATCAGTAGACCGGTCGTGGGTACATACTCATTATCATTCACTTTCACATCTCGGTCTAATTCCAGCTTGTTGATGAGGACATAGGTATTCTTACTGGTATCTAATTTTTTCAAATCAAGGCCAAAGGTCAACTCCAGGTGATTAGAGGCTTTTTTCAGGTCATCAGAGAAGTGATTCTTGGTTACCTGAATTACATTTTTCAGTATTTCCACCTTTGTAAAGGGCTCCTTCATTTGATACTTATAGAGCAGGTAGTGTACCAAGATAGCAACTCTTTCCTCCACAAAGTCTTTCTGGCACTCCTTAGTGGTCAGCTCTAAATTACTTAGCATTTCCCCAACTTGGTTGCAGGTGTCTTCATCAAAACTTGTGCATGATGCAGCAGCAGCAGCCATGGTAGATGAGGCACTCTCAGGCTCTTGACTGGTGGTTGCTCTAGCAGCAGATGACCTCTCAGGATTATTGATGGAATGAGGACTTGAAGCAGAGGACTCTTCTTTTGCTACAGTAGCTTGAAGACCCATTACATTCATAGGCTCTTCTCGAGCCTGGCGGCGTTTTTCACGGGCACGGATCTTACTCTTCTGACCACGAGGCATGATGACTTAAAGGTTGGAGTGTGGGAGAGAAGACTGATGATTCAGTGACCTGGAGGAAAGAGGATGAAATGATGTGATCCTCTTCAGCAGAGTGATACTACCTTGGTTTTATCTGAGGCTGCCTTTGTAGGTTTCCTTGAAGGCATTCATCAAGGAATTCATTAGGCTTCTTTTCTCTGAGGAGCCTTTCCCCTGAGGGCCCTGTGGATATAACTAGAGTGTGCCTTAGGATGCAGCCCTCAGCCCTACCTGTGACTTACTGGGCCTGACACAGTGTCTAGAAGATCTACACCCTGTAGATCCTCTTCTATTCTGGCACAGAGGATATTTTTCTCAATTTACATTCAGGGCCATTACCTTGGCTTCTAGCAGGACTTAAGATCTCAATGATTAGCCACATCGATACTCATCCCCTCATTCCAAAGATTTCCTCCCTGACTCACTAAGGAAGTGAGAGGGAATCTCATTTAACTATATCAGCTTCCAGATGACTTAGGATGGAAGCAGTGGCAGAACTCTGTGAGATCTCTCTATCCTGGAGTAAGTACACTTATCAATCTTCACTCAGTTAGTCCTCATCTTTCCCTCTTATAGGGCCTGATTTCCTTCCTTCTACTGATCTGAGACTTGAAACAAGGCCTTTACATCCCTGAGGCTTCTGAGGAAGAAATTAGGGAGGCCTCTAACATACCTTCCCGAGCAACCCCCATTAGGAATAACAACACTTGTAGGGCTTTATTCTCAATATTCAGGTTCCTCGTCATGCCTCCTCATCTTGGCTGCTACTTAGGTACCTTTCCTTATGCAAAGGTAAGGTCTATACCAATCAGATCAAGAGCTTCACTCATGTGATATTCTAAAGTACTACTCTGCCATAAAGAAGGATAAACTTGAAGCATTCATAGGTAAATGGATGCAGCTTGAGACCATAATATTAAGTGAGATAAATCAGACACACAAGCTTAAATATCACATGGCTTCTCTTATATAAGAAATGCAAAATATAAATAAAGAGCAAAATAAAAGATAGATAATAGAAGGTAAGATCTTTTCAAATGGGAAGTGGAACAAGAGGTGGAGGGAAGGGAGAAAGGGGGAGAAGGGGATGGAAAAAGAATTGAAGAAAAAAATGGAAACAGAGCTTTTGCAAATAGGAAGGGGACCAAAAGTTGAAAGAAGCAGTGAGGCATGGGAAAGGTAGAGGACAAAAAAGAGAATTATGATGTATTTTGTGTATGTACCAACTCCCCACAGTAAATATAATTTATATACTTGGAAATAGGTACTAGTAAAAAAAGAAAAAAAAACAGAACAGTAGGAGAAGTCCACCACAACAGTATATCTATTGAAAGCCTGACCATGAATTAGGGTGAGAACATTAATACTTTGTGGGTAACAAAATTTTGCCACAGTTGTGGTGCTCTATGGAGTCATTTTGTGCTGAGAGAGAAAGTCCTCTTTGTCCTTGTTCAAGGTTTTGAATTTAACTCAAGGTCACTCAGCAAGACTCCTTCCTGGGCTGACCTACATTAGGCAGCCTTTGACTAAGGTTCTTATGCATTCTACCCCAACCCGAAAGTTAAGTGAAGAGGCATTTGTGGTTTACAGCGATACTCATGGCTTCCATGCTCTGTAAGGCCTCCATTGTTCTGGGAAGGTAGAGTCCACGGAGCTCACAGAGGTATTTCACTTATCTGTGCCAGTGCCAACGGTCTAATGTCCTCCTGAGCTGGAGTAGGTTGAGATGGAAGTTCGGCATACCATTTCCGGCCACCCGGGCTTGCCGTTTTCCAGGGCTATCGGCCAAGGTGGTATTTGTTGGGGGTGCCGCTGTTATGGGGGTGGGGAAGATTCACAGAACTCGCGTGGAGCCCTTTCTTGGTCCCAGATGCCTCCCTCTGTTGGCTGGATGCCAACATCCTGACTTAATTCTCGTCTTACACCCTTACTCTCCAAAACCTTCCAAGGTCATCATATCACGTGATCCCTAACCAGAACTTTCTGAGGCAGTTGTCAGGGATGGGGGCACAGGGCCTTCTTTTTTTGGGGGTAGGCAGTCCCCTCAAACCTTACTCAGTAGGGCCCGGGATGTAGCTCAGTGGCACCGCGCCTGCCTTGCAAGTGCAAGGTTCAGAGTTTGATCCCGATACCGAAGGAAAACAACAACAACAAAAATCTCACTCAATATTCTTACCTTCCGACGAGGTCTGGATTTCTCCCGCCGATAAACCAGATGCCACTTCACTCACAAACAGGTCTCCCCTTCCTCGGACTGCAGAAGGCAAAGTCAGCGGCAACACGTCCAGACCTTCAGGACTGCCAGAGGGTAGGCACGACGCAGGGCGTAATCTCCTGGTGCCCCCACCCCCCCGTCTGGCGTGGGCTGTAATTTAAATCCTCTTCCGGTGGTACAGCCGTGTTTTGGCTTCTAATTGGCTGATTAAAAGCTCCGTGGGAGAAAACAAAAACACCTCCCAGTTAGTTCCAGATAGCCTCTCAATTTGAACTCTTCAAGATAACGGAATTACATCCTAGGTGTGAGGTGATATGGAGAAGATACAGGTAGGCAGCCCCAAACGGTTCTAAAATGTTAAAGAAAAAAAAGCACAGTGACCGTGTAGATTCCAGCAGGCAAATTTAGACTTTCTGCCCAGCGTGGTGGCACACGCCTGTAATTCCGGCACTTGGGAGGCTGAGGCAGGAGGATTGTCACAAGTTCAAGGCCAGCCTGGGCTATACTAGAGTTCGAGGCCAGCCTGAACTACAAAGCAAGACGGGGGGGGGGGGGCAAAAAAACCCAATAACAAAAAAACAAACAAAACCCCCCAAATTCAGACTTTCTGTAACTTTCTGTTTGAAGACAATCACTTTCCAAAACCACAATATATGCATGTATGTACAGAAATGCTACAGAGAAACCCATTAATTTGGAGTTTTTTTGGTACCAGGGATCGAACTCAGGACCTTGTGCTTTCGAGGCAGGCGGCGGCACAACTGAGCTAAATCCCCGGCCCCAAAACCCATTAATTTGTACAATTTATATGCATAAATAATTATCACAATAGATAGAGAGGATGCCAATTTGCATAATTTTGTGATACATAGATCTTTTGGCTTTATCCACAAGTGCACTGTACTATGTATTGAAATTCATTTTAATTTTTATCTTCAGTTATAATAACAAGGCTCTTGATTTTACTGTAGCGATCTGTACACTATCATTTAGAAGTCACTTATTTATTTGAATAATCCATGGCCTTTTCTTGAGTTTTCTAAAATGATGATCATACTTTCACCAACTTTCTATTTTTTGTTGTTTCGGTTTTGATTTTTTTTTTTTTTTTCGAGACAGGATCTCGCTTTGTAATTTAAGCAGGCCTTGAACTCACTATGTAGCCCAGGCTGGCTTCAAACTCACATTGATCCTCCTGCCTCAGCCTCCTGAGTGCTGGGATTACAGGTTCTACTACGCCGGGGTTCTGTTTTTTGGTACCAGGACCTTGCACCCGCAAGGCAGGCCCGGTGCTGCTGAGCTAAATCCCCGCCCCCCCGGGTTCTTTTTGTGTTCATAAACTTTATTTACTTTTTTATTTTTATCTTCTGGCTTTTCTTTCTAGTACTATACTGTTATGTCTTGCTCTTTATTTTAGTGGCAAGGCTCATAATTGTTCCTATTTCACATTTCAATTTGAATGGTATTGATTTTATGAAATAGAAGTTCCATTTTAATATTAATTTACTAAATGCTTTTAAATGCACTTATATTAAAGGTTTTGTCCCCAAACTTTGTTTTCACATTCGTATAGGATCAAATGCCTTTAAAAAACGGATCTATTAATGTGTTAATATTTTATTCTATTTCCTTCTGATATAACATCTTTACATTACTTGGATGCAAACTGAATTCATTGGTATACTGGACGTATTATATACTTATTTAAGATCTTTGCCTTTATATGGGTAAACTTAACTTCAGTATATTTTTTCCTCAGGGACTCTCAGACAGTTCTCTTCTTAAAGAGAGCTAGTTTGGGAAATGAATTGAAAACTTTTGTATCTTTTTGTGTACTTTGGATGTGTTTGCATAAGGTGGTGGTTACTTTTTTTGCTGATTATTTGGTAGAACTGCCCTCAAATTGCCTGGTATTGAAGTATTCGAGGATACTGGAGCTTGGATTACAGTTGAACTTTGTATTGTTCAATTATAGTTTTCTATTTCTGTTTTATATGTTTCTAAATAATGGTCTCTTTGCGTTTGTGATTTTAAATTTAATGGTTTTATACATTCCTTATATTATGGAAATTCTCAAATATATTCAAAGTAGAGAGAATATACTTAACACTCAGAATCAGTAATCATCAATAAATGGCTACATGGCCAAAATAGTTCTATCCGTATTCATACTTGCCATCATCCCTACCACTGAAATGATGTGAAACAAATCCTACACATCGTGCTACTTCATATTTAAATATTTCAATATGCATTTCTAAAAGATAGATGCATAAACAAGATTTACTTATTCTGTTTTAAAAATTTATTTCCTAGGGCCAGGGATTTAGCTCAGTGGTGCCTCACAAGCACAAGGTCCTGAGTTCAATCCCTGGTACACCCCCCAAAATTTACTTCCTAATTTAATTAAATGTCTAGTTATCTTTCACATTTACTCAAACTGATTTATTCATTTAAATTTTATTTTCCTTGAACCTGAGTCTAAATGAAATCTAGTTTTTGTCACTGCTCTTTATGTCCATTAATTTGTAGATCCTTTCCCCCATGAAACACATACATACATTACCTCTTTTCCTTGTAATTTTTTTTTGTTGCAAACTGAAAGAGCTCTTATGTTCTGTCTAGCTTTACATGGTCTGAATTTTGCTGATTGCAAAATTAGTGTCTCTCTCTTTTGTATTTTCTTATATTGGTTGACATTTTATCAGACTGAGTTTTTATCCCCCTTGTTGTTTGGAATGACTGAAAATTTTTCAATTGCATCATTCCTTCTGAGTTTATTACATGAAATTCATATTTATGTAGAATCATTCATTGTCCACCATTTGGTTATATTATTCTTGTGTTCTCCCAAAATATTTAAATTCTCATTGCTTCTATACTTTATTCAATATTATATAACAAATATTTATTTTTCTGTCTTTTTTTTGTATTGGTGGCACCTATAAAATTAACTGTTGTATAAGTATTTTCAAAAAACAAGCTTTTGTTGGTTCCACTACCTTCCAATTAATCATTACTCAATTTGTTCTTACTTTTTATGTTGCTTTGTAATATGGTGTTCTTTCTCTAACTTCTCAATTTTTTTCGTGTTTTAAATATTTCTGTTTATTCTATTCAGTCTTTTTAAGGATATTAATATCCCTCTGGGTAGCACTTGGGCTGCTTTCCATAGATAATGATAAAACTTCAAGTGTAGTTTTTGAACATTTTGCAAGCTGAATATATCTCTGTATTATTTATGCTTTGGAATTTTTGAATGTATGTGCAAGTACTAGGGAGAGAAAAATTATTTTTTAGAAGCGTATGAAGAGAAGGAGAGAAATGTACTTATTTAGAGGAAGTTTTGTGCTCTCATGTGTTTTACTTTGTTTTGCTAATATGTTATGAGAAATTTGAACATATTTAGCTGCTAGTCACTGAGTTCTTCACCTTATTTTCTTATCTCTTAGACATTTTAGGGTTCACTTTGTTTGATTTGTTTACATATAGTTGATTCCTAATATATTTGATCATAATTAACCACGTTTGAAAGGTCAAAACAATAAAAATACCATTGTAGCAGTGCTTTTTAAGATTAAATAAACTCTAGGTAACTTTCTGAAGCCAGGATTATTACAAAATGATCATGCAAGTAGTTTAACCATGTAAGTATTGACAATAAACATTCATTAGCACGATGATAGAGGCTCATTACTGCATAATTGCCATAAAAGTATAAGAAATATTCAATAAATTATTTTAAACAAGAGAATAATAATGTAACTAATGAAAAACATGTTTATGTGAGATAAAATAATTACACACAACAGTTGCAAGGCATAAGCCCCCAAGAAGAGAGTATAATGCAGTATGTGAGAAACTTGTACTCTGCCTAGACATTATTTAGAAGGCTTAGTTTTTTTGGTTTTTGACTGTTCATCTCACAGATAAGAAGGGCTGTGCTGAAAATAGGCTATTCCTCCTTGAGAGTTGCTCTTACTGATCACTGGGCTTTACAAATGCATTTGATGTGCTTATTCTCATATCGATCGTAGCTTAATATTCACCTTTATTTTATAATCATAAACCAACTTTAAGATTTAAGATCATTTTGTCGAGTAATCCATGCAACAGGCATCCTACTCTTGCTCTGATACTTCTGCTATATCTAAAATCTCTATATAATCAATGACTTTATGGTCCCTACATGGTTCATGCCCTAATATTTATCACATCCTTAATCTTTGTCTCATTCTTTTTTTTTTTCTTTCAGTATAGGGGATTGAGCCACGTCCCCAGTCATCATTCTTTTTATTTTCATTTTTAGGGTTTTTTTGCAGGGAGGCAGGATCTCACTGAGGTGCTAAAGTGCCCAGGCAGGTCACAAGCTTGTGATCCTCCTGCCTCAGCCTCCCAGATTTCTGGGATTACAGGTTTATGCCACCATGTCTGGCTAAGTCCTGTTCTTTGAGCCTTAACTAATTACTGATCTAGTTTTCATATTTATCAACAATGATTACACTTGTGATGAGTTGAGATTTTTGGCATGTGGAATTAGTTTTAAAGAGAAAATAAAGATTTCCATAATTTTATACCAACTATCAGCATTTTTCTTTTAATTTTTTACTTATCAGTACTTTTAAGTATGCTGCCTTGATATTATGTACAAATATTACCATTGCCTTTTTCAGGAGATTCTGTCTGAGAAAAGGAACAGTAGAAGAGGAAGCACAGATTTCAAACACCACCCAACTAATAGTACTGTGATAAATGTCCCAAAGTCTATTTTCTAATGTCTACTTTTCTCTGGGTTTTAGGGTCCAGATTTAATCACAGAATGGTGCTGACACTGTGTTTCTAGGACATTTACTAGTGTTAATAGTTTATTGAGCTTCAAAAGTTTCTTAAAGAATGAAATATACACTCTCATTCTCTCTTCCAAGATTCTAATAAAGACATCAAGTGCAACTGTGTAAAAATAATTGACTAAAACATGTAGCTATTATTTAGGTTAGTCTTGTTCTTTGGTGCTAGAAATAACTTATGTTGCTCAGAACCTTAATTCTGCTAGTGTCCGCATGCTGATCAATTCTGGACTCAGAAGATTAATACTGATACTGATGAACTACAGAAAGAGGATTCTG